ATGTTGAAGGTGTCTGAATATATTTTGGTTTGACTGTATCTATTTGATAAATGAAGTTAACCAACTAACATTATACATACCCTTTTGGTTTCTGTACCCAATATTTAAAAAATTTACAAATGTAATAAAAATATAGGTATCGGCATCGGTATCGGCAAGTACCAAAAATAAAAGTATCGGTATCGGGCGAGTACTGGAAAAAGTGGTATCGGTGCATCCCTACTCACAACCCTGCCTCAGCACTAGCAAGGATTGATCAAAATGACAATCTCACGACGGTACAATCTCATGACAGATGTGAGGAGTCTCTTAAAACGCCTGGACCCGCTGCTGCTCCTCACCGCGTACATCTGTCCTGCCCTCATCTTCACGTCTGAACTCTTTCATTCTCACAGATTCAGACCCAGACAGCTAAATCCCCCTCGTTCCCCCAGACATGTCCCGCAGATGTTGACACATGCTTTGTGACCAACCGCCATGCTGTCAAACTGACGTGATGAGCGCACTGGAACGACCCTAGAAAACCCAGCGTCATCAGTTTCCCTCCAGGAATGAGTGAGGCATTGTGTCTACGCTGCAAGCAAAGTGACATGCTGACAGCGATTTGCTGCGATATTAGCATCGGCAACCACAGGCGATGCAATGCTGCTGAGGAGAGTTTAACTTTATGCAAATTAACAGCGAGTGATGTGGCAGCTACCAGTGGGAATAAGAGCATAAACGAATCTGTTCGAGATGCAACATAACTACAACACTCATTATAATGAATAAAGCTGTCTTCTCAGCTCAACACTGCAAACCAACAACGCAATAAAACTAGAATGATCCCTTTATAATCAAAGAGGATAATAAAGATATCATGTTGTTGTTTTATCTTAGAAAGCACTGTTTAAAACATTCCTGTTTTAAATGAACAAAGCTGACTATACTGTAAGTGAGAAATGCAACAAAACTAAAATGTTCCTGTTATAATGAAAAAACTTGTCTACAGTACACTGCAAGCATGAAACAATGCAAAGAAACACAACTGGAATGTTCCAGTTATAACTGATATCTCTCACTGCAAGTGCATTTCATTGCAACACTGCAAGCGGTGTGATAGTGCTAGAACTGCAAGCATGCAATGCAACAAAACTAGATTCAGGTGCAATGATCCTGTTTTAATCAATGCAGTTTCTACAGTGCACTGCGACCAAACACAACTAAAATGTTATAATCAACAACATTCACTGCAAATACATGTCATTACAAGCACTGCGACAGAGCTACAACAAATGCATGATCGTACAACACTGCAAGTGTGCAATGCAACAGAACTAGAATGTTTCTGCTTTAAATCAACATAGCTGACTACACTGCATACATGAAATAATGCAAATAAACAAAACTAGAATGGATCCTGTTTTAACCAATGAAGTTTCTACACTGCAGGCATGCAACTGCAACACTGCATGCAAACACAACTAATGTTTCTCTTATAATCTACAAACTCGCTGCAAGTACATGCTATTGCAAGCAATGTGACAACTAAAATACTCCTTTTATAATCACCGATGCGGTCTACAAACACATGACACTGCTACAATGCAAGTGTGCAATGCAACAGAACTAGAATGTTTCTGTCATAACCAAAGTTGTCTATACTGCATGCATGCATGCAAACACTTCAAGTGCACACAACAAAACTAGAATGTTCCCAATTGAATGAAGTTGCATGCAATGCAACACTGCAAGTGTGCAATGCAACAAAACTAGAATAATCCTGTTTTAATAAATTCTACAAGTCTAAAATGTACTTTTTTACAAGCATCATCATTCACAAGTGCATGTCATTGCAACACTGCAAGCAATGCAACACAACAACAATGTTCCTGTTACATCAACATACATGTCTACACTGCAAGCATGCAAATGCAATACTGTAAACATATGATACAACAAAACTATTTACTGTTATGATCAACAGCACTGCAAGAGAGTGATGCGAAAAACTACTAGAATGCCAATTTTTAGAGCAAAGCTGTCTACACTACAAGCAAGCAGAATTCCATGTTTGCATTTTAGACAGTTCTGTTGATCGTAAAGGGATCATTAGTTTTGTTGCATCTCTCTCAGTGCAAACGGAGCATTAAAGAGAAATATGACAGAACAGCTTTTAATGCATCTTCATTGAACATTAACAGGACATCAGTTTTCATTAAGAGAGAGAGAAAGACAGAGAATCTATGGGGGGCACTGAGGGATGATATGTCTGCAAAGAGTGAAGTTAAAGGAAGGAGCTTGTGTCATCATTTTATCTTCTAATTCCCCCGTAGAAACATCACAGTTGAGTAATTGTGTTCAGTTGCATGATCTTTCAGCCACACTGTGCACTGATGTAAAAGTCAAGCCAC